ATTGTCGGATGACGAAGAGCATAGTTTCCTTCATCATGGCAAATTTACCGCGCCTCTCCATGCTGGTACTTCTATCAATCACGGCGACCAACTCCAGTGGTGCCCGACCCGTCTCACTGACTTTGCTGTCTTCATCCTCCTGGTACCGAGGCGCTTGAACGCTGACCACCACCCAAGTTTTCTCTTCGCCAGAGTACTGATGATACCATGGATACTGTCTGAATTCTGAGTGGCAGAACAATCGGATTTCCTTGGATGCCAGCCAAGCTGAGACGGTTGCCGTAGACGTCATTCTGTCAACAATACGAGGACTTGCGTTGCAGTAAGCTCGACGACGTAGTATGTAGCAAAACACAAACTGCCTACTGTTGTATTAGTACTAGAGAGTAGAATGAACTGATATTATTAGTGACTGCTACTAGTACTACTGGTTTCGCGCCCCCTTGTTGGACTGCTTGTGAGACTTACCACCTCTCCCCCGCCGCTAGGCGCTGCCTCTGTTACCATGCTATCTCGGGCGCTAGATGCGTTGATGGCCTGACACAAGCCAAATAATTTGGATTGGTGTGTTACTCAACACCACCAACACAGTTCCCAAACTTTACTAGTGCAGGACATTATTGGAACAGAAATAACAGCTAACGCTATGAGAATTCTTGAAATCATAATAATAATAATAAATTGGTTGTGAGCAACACTGGCTCACACTCAAATCACTGCTTTTCACCAGAAAAATATTTTATTTCAACGTTTCGGTCATGAAACAACCATCATCAGGAATGAAGTGGGCACACCGGTTAGGATGGGTTAATAAATGAGGAGCGCTGCGAACTGATAACAAATCACACCTGCATGCACTATTACGAGAGAGAGAACAAAAGGCCAAAACATCACCAAAAAAAACCTGGTATAGAAATAACGCAATACGCGACAACTCTAAATATGGCACAGGTACAGGCAACAAACAGAATGTACATGTGCAGTAGGTTCGTGCAGACATGTAATTGCAGGCGCTAGCAACAACAGTAGTAGTAACAGTGCACTAGTGCAAGGGGTGCAAAACCACCACTATCCAGGAAAAGCGAGTATCAAGGCCAGAAATATGTACAAGGCAGTACTTCACCAGAGACTTCACAGGAGGTCCCACCCTGCGTTATTGTTTATGCTGGGGCTCGTGTCGCGAATTTGCATTGCTTCGCGTATTCTCCTCCTGGCCCGATCCGACTCAGTGGCAAGGACGCGAACCTCTGTGAATGCTGACTCACCAAGCGGCAGTACCTCGCCGCCATGGTGAAGTCGGTAGTGCTCGCCCAGGGCTTTTCCAGACGTCTTGTTGCGTGAGTTATCATTGTGTTCTTTTGTTCGCGTTGCTACACTACGGCCAGTCTGTCCAACATACTTCTCCGAGCATTTGCAGGTCAGACGATAAACCACGTTGCGTCTTGTGCATTCTACCTCGCTCGATTGGCATGCAACGCAGGCGGCTTTAGGCCTTCCTCGATCCTCGTCGCCTCGGGGCAGCGGGGTCCGACCACTTACGGCAGCAAGGTCCAGTGAGGCTGGACTTAGTGACGCTGTTGGAAAGCCTTGCATTCGTGTAGATTATCGGCACATTTAGGTTCGAGCTGTTCCGCAAAGCTTGCCACAGTGGCCTCGTCTCAGACTTCAACTCGTGCACTACCGACTTTACCATGGCGGCGAGGTACTGCCGCTTGGTGAGTCAGCATTCACAGAGGCAGGGTGGGACCTCCTGTGAAGTCTCTGGTGAAGTACTGCCTTGTACATATTTCTGGCCTTGATACTCGCTTTTCCTGGATAGTGGTGGTTTTGCACCCCTTGCACTAGTGCACTGTTACTACTACTGTTGTTGCTAGCGCCTGCAATTACATGTCTGCACGCACCTACTGCACATGTACATTCTGTTTGTTGCCTGTACCTGTGCCATATTTAGAGTTGTCGCGTATTGTGTTTTTTCTATACCAGGTTTTTTTTGGTGATGTTTTGGCCTTTTGTTCTCTCTCTCTCGTAATAGTGCATGCAGGTGTGATTTGTTATCAGTTCGCAGCGCTCCTCATTTATTCACCCATCCTAACCGGTGTGCCCACTCCATTCCTGATGATGGTTATTTCATGACCGAAACGTTGAAATAAAATATTTTTCTGGTGAAAAGCAGTGATTTGAGTGTGAGCCAGTGTTGCTCACAACCAATTTTTTACTTATGAAGCTGCGTGATGCGTCCTACAAGATTTTAAATAATAATAATAATAATAATAATACTAAAAAATAATACAGATCGCATGTCTCCCAAATAATTGTTTTGCTCATGCACTTGACTGGCACCTATGATCAGGGCCCGGGGGACGGCCCACTCCAGGTAAAAAAAGTAAATAATTGAAAAAATTACACAACAGAACAACAAGGACAATCAAGGCTTGTTTGCTGCTACTTTAAGTTTCATGCTTACGCAATCATCAGGCAACATCAGGCAATCATCAGGCAACATGTTGCCTGATGATTGCGTGACCATGAAACTTAAAGTAGCAGCAAACAAGCCTTGATTGTCCTTGTTGTTCTGTTGTGTATTACGCTCTGCCTTTGTGGTGTTGAGCACTGTCAGCACTCTGAGTACGTCCTTCGGTAAAGAAAAAAATTAAAAATTAAAGGTTCTGCGTTCCGGCTCTCCGCCTTCACCGCGAACATAAGAAAACTAGAGGAGAACAAACAAACACAAGAAGCAAGAATGACACGAAAAGCAGAAATTATGAGAACATAGTATAAATGAGCACGGCCGGCCATGAACCTCAACAGGGGATAGCCGCCTCGGCAACAACAAGAGCAGCTGATGGGTTCCACGCATCTGTCAACTGTTTCATCATGAAATAGATTGCAGCAGGAAGAATAGCATACGAAAAAACTATATACAGGTTCTAGCACATGACAAGTACACGCCATTTTTTACACCGATGTACATTATTTTGTCAATGAAGTCCAGCCATAGCTTTTTGTCCCGTGCAGTGTTGAGGCAATCCTCGAGCGTGTGTCCGAGAGGGGAGATGTCGGATTTCACCACATCAATCCACAGAAGCCTTGGTCGTCCTCGTGGACGCTTGATCTTTGACGTGTCGATGGCCATGGTTAGCGCGCCATAGGAAGCCGTGCCCGGACCTTCCCGAACAACATGGCCGAACCACAGGAGACGTCTTCTCTTGCAGACCCTGCTGATTGGTTTCTGTTTAGATTTTTCATACAGGATTTGGTTGGATATGCAGTGTGGGTAGTGGACTCCGAAGATATAACGGAGCTTTCTTCTCTGCCATACATCTAGCTGTTCATTCTGTCGCTTCGTGAGGGTCCACAGGCCGCAGTTATACAGCAGCACTGGAACAATGAGAACCGAGAACATGCAAAGCCGTGAGTCCAGGCAATGCCGCTTCCATGCTATCGAGCCGAATGCTCGGTTCGCTGCACCGATCCTGGCCGCCACATCCTCCGTGGAGTCCAGCAAGGAACCAAGGAGCTTGACCGTTTTCCACGATGCATCAGTGCGGGAAGCAGTTAAATATACGGTTTTTTGTGCGTTAAGGTTGAGGTTGTCTTCTTTGAGGATCGGCTCACAGGTGGCTACCATGGTCTCCACAGCACTCCTCGATGATGCGTGCATAGTTCTATCATCTGCGTATTGTGTTGAAGGTGAGGGTACATCTTGAGTTCTTGCAAGGCTACTAACTGCATCGATCTTCCGCATGGCTCCTTCGGCATACATATTGAACATAGTGGGTGATAGCGGGTCACCGTCCTTGCACGACTCCAATGTTCGTGGGGAAGGCCTCTCCAAGCTGGCTGGTAATTTTTACTCTGGCTGTTGTGTTTGAGATCAATGCTGATACAGTCGATGTCTGCGCCCCCGCCACCATCATCCTGTCCAGTGCTGTACTCCTAACCAGGGTGTCGAATGCACCACTAAAGTCCAGCAGCGCTGCTGAGTATGACCAATCACCAAGCATTGCGCGTTCACACAGCATTCTTGAATAGCACACACCGTCTGCTGTTGAGCGGCCTGGTCTGAATCCTGCTTGAGACTCCCTTACGTAGCTGTCTGCTGCTGTCCGCTTTCGACGGTTTAGAATACATGTCAGCACTTCCCTCACCACAGATAGCCTAGTGAAATGTAGAGTGTTTTGAACTGGGTGGTATTGTAGAGGAGGAAACAATCATTACTGTAATTCAATAAAATTATTATAAAGGCCTTTGGCTTTGCCGAGCTACGGGGCTGACAGCAGAAACTTCAGTGCGTGTGGTATTGTAAAAGTGGACCGCAAAGAGTGGACTCATGACACTCAAGTCTCAACTTTTGCGTTCTATTCTCCTGTGCAGCCTTTTGTCTTCTTCTAGCACCTCACAGTTAGGCACACTAGATAGGACGGACGGAGCCATACACTAAACAGATGAAGGCGGGGGGGGGGGGCTTCTAGCTGCGCCCCCTGTACATACATGGAAGTACAACCATGCATATGTACATGTACATGTATATGCACAATCCCATTTGCCACGAACGTGTGGGATCTAGTTCTAAAGACCACCTGGCTTTAACGACCGCTTTTGCTTGCACCGTGGGGTGGTCGCTTAAACAACTCACTCAAGGTAAACACGCCTTTTCTGCTTCTCATTCCTGGTTAGCTTGGCAAGAACATCCGCTCAAGGTAGGCCTTGGCAAAATTGGCACTTTTTTTACTCGAAGTAGCAGTATTTGCTTTTAGCATTTTTTAAGAAAAAGGACCAATAACAGGTATTACTTACGAGTTATGACTAACAGTCCACCAAGGTAACGAGATCTTTAAAAACTGTCAGATAGTGCGACAATAAGGTGCATAATGACAAGGACTTTAAGCCATTCAGCGACCTGACACCTACACATGTACATGTAGCTCCTACACATTTACATGTATGAAAACATAAGTGGGTATACCCAGGTTTCAACAGTGCTCAACACCATGTATGAAAATGTAATTATTCTACGAAGCGCAAACCAACAACCTTCCAACTTGGAAGGCTCATGTGCGGATACTAGTAGTTGCAAAGAGGAGAAGGGATGCGCCACGAAGATGTGCACGAGCTATGTCCCTGGGCAACAAAGAATGTCAAACGTTACAAGATGATGATCAGATGATGAGACCAGTAAGGGACTGTAAGACAATTGGACAAACCTGCCTAACTACTACTCGACGAAGCAAGGCAACAGACCACTCAACTTGAGAGGCTCAAATGTATGCAAATCACAAAGCTAAGTGTGAGGTCGTTGAAAGTCTCAATACCCTTGTCAGTTTTGTGCCTTGTTGTCGCACTATCTCACATGTATAATATCTCGTTACCTTGGTGGACTGTTAACCAAAACTCGTAACTTATTGGTCCTTTCTCTTTAATTAAATTCTATTGGCTCAACATCCGAGTTTTATTAAATACACTTGATGGTCTCCTCCCGAGCATCCTGAAGGCCGTTGCACCAGTTATCGCCTTCTCCCTCACCCTAATATTTAATACCTCTTTGTGCACTGCTGTGTTCCCGACACAATTCAAGTTGGCTAATATCACGCCGATATTGAAATCCCGTAAGGGCGATCCTACTTCTCCTTGGAACTATCGTCCTGTGTCACTCACGTCGATTCTGGCTAAGACTCTGGAGCGCCTGGTTCTAAATCAGGTATGTGACAGTTTGACCATCGAAAATCACCTCCACGACCACCAATTTGGGTTCCGACCAGTTCGTTCCACGACACAACTGCTCACACTTGCTGTAAATGATGGGAAACTGGCCCAGGACCGCGGAGAGACTACCAGTGTAGCCTTTGTCGACCTCAGCAAGGCGTTTGATCGCGTTCAGCATCAACAGTTATTCGTTGCGCTCCATGGCATGGGTGTTCATGCAAGCGCCCTGCGTTGGTTTGCGTCGTACCTCGCCGGGAGATCTCAGCGTGTCGTCACGCAAGCCAGCCAGTCTTCAAGTCTTGCAGTGTCCGGAGGAGTTCCTCAGGGAAGTATTTTAGGCCCAACCCTTTTTAATGTCTACCTAAGGGACCTTCCCCGGCTTGCGGAGACAGCGGGTTCAAAATTACTGATGTTCGCAGATGACAAGACAGTCTACTCTAGTGATCCGTCGAAGGCGCGTTCCGAAGCCAAGTTGGCATCGGCACTGGAGATACTAAACAACCACCTTGGCTCCTTTGGCATGCAGATAAATACCGACAAAACCGGTGTCATGCAAATCCATCCCAAACGTGCCACAGGGAGTCAGCGACAACAACAAAGGCAACAACTGCAAATAACCTTGTCAAATGTCACGCTAGGGGAAGTGGAAAGCACCAGATGCCTAGGAGTCGTTGTTGACAATAAGCTGTCCTTTGACCAACACATTAACAATGTCGTCCGGAAAGCCTCACGGAAGATCGGTGTACTGCGTCAATCTTTCCGCCAGATGAACCTGTTTGCCCGCCGTACTTTCGTTGTCGGTGTTATTCAGCGTGATCTAGAATATGCTCTCCCTGTATACCTTTCATTTATATCCGTTAAAAATAGAAACGTGCTAGCCTCACTCCACCGGCGCGCTGTACGAGTTGCTTGTGGCGCATCACCCCAAGCTAATATCACGCCAGTAAATTGATGTTGTTGTTTTTCGTTTTTTTTTTGGTTTCCCGTTCTCGGGGCCTTCTACTCGGTACTCCTTGTAGTTGTACTTCTGTACTGTTGAGCTATCCGAATTCAAATAAACACAAAAAAATGAGCCGTCACTAGCAATATGGTGAAACGTGTGTCGTGTGAACTAACTTGCACTCCTTGAGTCTCTCACAATCCCGGAGATGGCAAGACGAAATTGTAAACAAACAACACAACAATTTTTTGCAAGATAAAGCGAGCTGAAGGGGCTTGTTAGAGAGACATCCTCCCACCTGAGGTGCCTGGGTAAAGGTCATTCATTTGAGGGTATAGGCAATCTTTTTTTCCTAAAATTCATGATCAGAACAATACAAAACAACACAAAACAATACAGAACAATACGGAACAATACGGAACAATATAGATTATTTGTGAACGATCCCTCCTCGAAATGAATTTTAATGAAACCTCCAGAAGACACACACACACACACACACACACACACACACACACACACACACACACGCGCGCATCGTGACAGGAACATGTGCACAGCGCTAGACAGCCTGGGTGGTAAGGGGGGGGGCATGTATGTCATTGGCGGTGGAACTTGATCAGCCCTACTGCCAACGCTGCGTGTCTGATCAGACATCATCATGAATAGAAGAAGAGGCTTTCTTTTTCTGGACCTTCATGCGGTTTGTGTAGCTAGACTCACGTATATCGTTGCTGCGCTGGGCCAAGTGCTTCTGCGAAATATTTGAACTTAAGTCCTTGCCAGCACGCTTCCATTGTGATGGGGATGCCAGTTCTGCTGTAACGCGGTGCATGTCTTTCTCCATCTCTTTTGAAATTGGGCAATTGCTCGATGCACTCCTTCTGATCACGGCTTGTTGCTGCGCGCGGGGCAGAGGCGAATAACAGAGAACATAAAAAGTAGTTTATAAGGCCAAGTAAAAAAAAAAGCTAGATGATCGTCCCCGTCCGCCCCAGTTTTTGTCAGCGCCCCAAGAAATATTTTATTTTTTAAATCGTGAGTTTTTGCCGAAATCGTTGGTTTTTTACCGATCGCGGATGCAGGAAACATGTGCACGCTTTGTTTAATACTTTCTTTACTATATGGACCACATACTACTAGTATATCACAACGTCAGTATCGATCTGCTGAAGAAAGAAAAAGAAAAAAAGAAAAAAAAAGAAAAAAGAGAAAAAAAACCTTGATGTTGTTGTGTACACTGTGTGCATGAGAGGGTAAAAAGTAAAAAAATAAAAATAAAATCCTCCCGCCCTCCCCGATTTTTCCAAAAAAAAGGACGATCATCTAGTAATTTTTTTTACTCGGCCTAATAGTTTCATGGTCGTCATGGTGCCGTGCAGGCCCGTGCTCCTCATGTGTATGGTATGCAGTTGAAAGTCTTAGAGGCCATTTCTCAGTGTTTCTATAAGCACAATTTGTGGGTGCAGAGAGATAGTGTAATTACCTTTAAAAATGTTTAAGTAACATTTCATTTTCTTGTTGTGGCCAAGCTTTGCCCTTTGAGTTCTCTATGTATTGTATTGCTGCTATCATTATCATATTGTTGTAGTGGATTAGCATGTTGTTAGCACCCACTAGGTTTTTGTTTTCCTCTTTCATTGTTACCAATCACACTTATTTTAAAATTTAAAAAGAGAGAACCATAAAAGTTATCCGTTTCGTCCAACAATAACGATTATAAGCAGGATAATGGCGAGTCAAAATGTGCAACAATTAGCACAAAACCAAACTGATGTGACACTGACATTCAACGACCCGATGCTTCGCTGCATCATGTCTGGAATACGCAAACAAACAGCCTTCCAACTTGGAAGATTCAAGTTATGAAATGACGTAAGAAAGGGGAAGGTGAGCGCACTCTAGACGAAGACAAGCTAAACATCACAGCAAACTAAGAATGTTAGCTATGACAAGTTGATGACGTAGCACGAAGGACCACCGCACAGGACGGCCATGGCTTACTTCGAAAACGTGAAACAACGACCACCCAACTTGGGAGGCTCATGTTGTCAGAGATAAGCAAAGGAGGGGAAGTTACGCGATCACGAAGCAAGACGGACCATACTATACTATAATTATGTGGAATGGAACTTATGATGGACTAAGAAACGGCAATAACAAGTATTGTTTGTGTGCGTGTGTGTGTGTGTGTGTGTGTGTGTGTGTCTGTGTCTGTGTGTGTGTGTGTGTGTGTGTGTGTCTGTGTGTGTGTGTATGTGCCTGTGTGTGTGTGTATGTGCCTGTGTGTGTGTGTGTATGTGTGTGTGTGTGTGTGTGTGTCACAGTAGTAGTAGAAGTAGTAGTAGTAGTGTCACACGACATACGTTTTTCCGTTAAGATGCTGACACACATTTTGACTCACTATTATCCTGCTTATAATGGTCAGTATTGGACAAAACGGATAACTTGTAAACTTATGGTCCTCTCTTTTTTTAAATAATTTTAATCCTTGGCTCTCAATCCAAGAGAACTGAACCCATCATCAGAGGTCCAGTGGTCTGCTCAGTCAGCCATCCTCCACTCTCTCTGGCGCTTCTCGGCCGTCCGTCGCAGGATCTGCACTCTGGAACCTGCTGCCGGATGACGTTCGGACCACAGCAAGACAGAAAAGGTTCAGCATAAGTTGCCTACCATATTGTTGCTCAGACTAACCCTCCCCTAGCTCTCCTCGACCACCCTGTCACCCCTGATACTCGCTTGACTCCTCTGTCAGATACTTCTTCTTTTGTAATTTTCTAAGTCCTGTCCTCTCTTTTCTAAATGCGGGTTATCTATTCGCCTTTATATCATTGGGCCTAGTTCCCGTTTATTGTGCGAATTAAAAATAAACCAACCAAACCAGAACTCATTTTAAGTGCCTTCATTATTGTAAAAAAGGAAAAGGACAAAATGTTACGAGTTATGACTAACTGTCCACCAACGTAACCAGATCATGTACAGTCAGGGAGTGTCTCAGTACTCCTTGTCAGTTTTGTGCCATTTTGTTGCACGCACTCGCGGACTGTACATGATCTTGTTAGGTTGGTGGACAGTTAATCATAACTCGTAACATTTTGTCCTTCTCCTTTTTTACTATAATTTAATTGGCTCACCATCCGAGTTCAGCCTTCAATATTTTTAAAAGTAAAATGCACTGGGAGAACTTCAATTTTCAAAAGATCAGTCGGGGAAGTGTACTGCCTGAAAAGAGAATTTGAAAATGCCAAACCTGGGGACTTGCTTGTGATAAGCAATGCTTTAACCATCTGAGTTATGGGACCAGGCTGAACCTAGAAGGTTCCAGCAAGTGTTTCACTCCAAAGCGGGCAGCTTACAACACGTTTCCACACATACTGATGGCACTTCGGTCATTTTCCCTCCCCAAGGGGACCAACCATGGTCAGTTTCTGGAACGTACCACTAGGGGTAAAAGAAAGGGATTAGTTTGTTAAAGGTTAGGGAGAACTTCAAATTTCAAAGGATCAGCCGGGGAAGTGAACTGCCTGACCCAAGTGCCATCAGTATGTGTGGCACATGCTGGGAGCTGGTTTTGGAGTGAAATACTTGCCAGCGCTTTCTAGGTTCAGCCTGGTTCTATAGCTTTCATTATTATTATTGGCTGAAACGAACACAATTTCTCATTAATCGAAGTTCTTGACGCTAACGAACGAACGAACACATATTCTTTATCGATAACTCGAGAAAATTGTCAGAGTTCTGACATGGGCATGATACTACCAAAATTGGCAAAAAAGTCTCCTCTGGCGAGGAAACGAACGCCATTGCCATCACAGACCTCAGTGGCTGTGCCTCGCTTGCCATTTTTAGCAACACCGCAGTTTGAACCCCGCACCAGTTTGAGCTTCACACCAGTTCACATCGCAGTGTTCGCAGGTCTATAGCTGTACAGCGCCCGGCATAGCATTTACTAACATGTGTCTTGCACCATGGTTAGTCTAAAATACATCATGTTCAGTGATTCTTACCCTAGCCAGCACGCGTTTTGCTCCATTAAGATCTCCTTTGTCTGCCAGTGTCGACGCATGCTCAATCACTTGAGCGGACGTGATGCGGTTACGGTGCTGGTCAACATCAGGGTTGGGTGAGCGATCAGCTGGAAGTTGCTTAACTCTGCGTACTTTCAGCAAGGCTTCGGTCACCTCCAGCAGGCTTGTGATGACATTGAAGCAGGTCAGCTTAGCCTTGAGAATAACCCATTCATCACACTCTTCAGGTACATTAGGCAGATCCAAGCAGAACACACAATCGCGGCATTCTTCTGACTGGATATCTCCCAGAGGCAATGTAATGGCAACACCACTATGTGTTGATTTGGTGCTTCGACCCGCATAGGCTTCCACTATGTTACAGCCGTTCTCAGCCGTGATTTCCAGGGATATATTCTGAGCGGCTGTGCTAAGTAAGCCACCCAAGCAGTCGGCAAAGGACTCTGGCATCTTCTCCGATGAGTCAATGTAGTAGTACATTCCATTACCAGCCTTACTCACTGCTTGCAACAACTCGGCATTGTGATCGGCCCCAAAGCCAAATGTGTAAATACTTGCAGCCACAACGTCACTAAGTTCAGTAGAATTAGCTATTGTGGAGGATACTACGGGTCTTGTTGCTGGTGCCGACACTTCCTGTGGGGATGGTTGTGGCGGTGATGGTGGAGGTGGTACTGTCGGTTCTTGTGCTCGAGCCGGAATGTTGTGACGAGCACGGAAGTTGCCATCAGGATAGAAGTCATGGCGGTCTCGTTGTGTTAAGCAATCAATTATGTCTCGCTCTGAGGTGAAGCCCTCATCGGCTTCACCATCCGTCATCAGAAGAATAGACGACACAGATTTCTTCTCCTTTTTGGCATTTGCGTCTCCACTGGAATTCTCTTTCTGCAGATCTTCAATCATGGCCAACCCTTCCATAAGTCCACCACATAGATTTGAGCCTACGTCTGCTTCCAAGTCCTGAATAATGTCGGTCGCTTGAGCTTTTCCGCTCGCATCCATCCTCCAGAGTGAACCAGTTGATGTCACTTCCTCGTCATAAAGCACGATCCCCAGCTTGTCGTGTTCATTCACTATCAGCATAGTACAATGCATGAAGAGAAAGTCACGGAAGATGAAGTCACACAGGAATTGAAAACGGTGGTTTCTGAATGATCAGGGCCGAGGCTGAAAAGTGATAGCAAACATTGTTGGGAGATCTATAGCCTTCAGGGAATTTCTGTCAGAGTATATCAGCCCAAAGAGCTAGGCATGCTGCATGTCATCATGGACATAATGTTTTCAGTACCATTATTGTCTTTTAAAGTTTCCATTGACCATGGTAGATTTTAAGAAGTCTTAAGTTCAACTGTTGTGTTCGCGTAGAGACGAGCAACGCCCAGGTCTCCGTTCACAGCTGACCCTTCATGCAAATGTAAACATATTACCACCTTTCACATCACCCCCTCCCAAGAACAGTCATAATACCTTATCCACAGCGTAAGTGTTGACAATTCACTCCGTACATGTACACAACGTGCTACATCAATGAATGTCATGTCGAACATCTTACTTCATCTAGGGGGGGAGGGGGGGGGGGGGGGGTGGCATGGATTCTGTGCATCATTCCATGAGTACAGTTGAACATCGATTATCCGACCAACTCTGGGCAGCGGGCCTTGGGAAGATGTTTGTTTTGTAAGTGTTACAAGTTTTTGACGGTACATGCTGTACACAGATGTACAGGCAGCCTGCAGTAACCAACTTTTCGTGTAGCTCCCGAACGAAAATGCGTAGCCTGAGCCACGTGCGGTTTGAAAACACATTCCAGATAATCGAATGGTCGGATATTCGATGTTCGGATAGTCAATGTTGAACTGTAATACTGCTAGTGCTAGACTGCCTATAGTCTATACATAGGTGGCACTTGAACTCTGGGTGTATGATCAGTGTGAACACTTTTAGTGGTTAGAGGTCAATTGGCTTACAGTGTGGCAAGTGCAAGCCTGACGCTGCCAGATTTCACTTGCCGCGGCTGCAGTTGGGCTGGGGCACCCGCTGCGGCTGCAGTTGGGCTCGGGCACGTCAGAAACACGAACTCAGCACTAGTATTATGTCATGTAAGTAATTAGTTGCAGCAGAATTTGTTCTCTTCATTGCTATTTAAACAGAATGCTTACATAAAATTGATCATTATAAACATAACTACGGTATGAGTTGACGTATTCACAGAGCATATACTCACACAGAGCATATACTCACACAGAGCATATACTCACACAGAGCATATACTCACACAGAGCATACACTCACACAGAGCATACACTCACACAGAGCATATACTCACACAGAGCATATACTCACACAGAGCATACACTCACACAGAGCATATACTCACACAGAGCATTATACTCACACAGAGCATATACTCACACAGAGCATACACTCACACAGAGCATACACTCACACAGAGCATACACTCACATTGTTGGATGACGAAGAGCATAGTTTCCTGGACCATTGCAAGTTTGCTGTAACCATAATCATGATCATGGTAGTCACTCTTCATGGTGGCACTTCTATCAATCACGGCGACCAACTCCAACGGTGCCCGATCCTTCTCACTGACTTTTCCATCTTCATCCTCCTGGCACTGAGGCGCTTGAACGCTGACCACCACCCACGTTTTCTCCCTGCCAGAATACTCATGATACTCTCTGAATTCTGACTTGCAGGTCAGTCCGATTTCCTTGGATGCCCGCGCACCTGAGACGTTTGCCGTAGCCATTCTGTCAACTATGCATCAACGATACAAGAACTTGCTTTAGAATGTAGCAAAACACGAACTGCCTACTATCATTTTTATAATTTAGAGAGTACAAGACTTTGTAGATATTAGTCACTGCTACTACTGGTCACCGCAAGTTCGCGGCCCTTGTTGGACTGTTTGTGAGACTTACCACCTTACCTCTCGCACGCTGCTTGGCGCTGCCTCTGTCTCCGGCGCTAGGCATGTTGGTAGCCTGGCACAAGCCAAATTTCCTAGGATGGTTGTGTTTCTCAACAAAGCAGGTGGTGACACGAACAACGTGTCAACTTTACTAAGCGAAGTAACTTAGTTGACACATTGCCACAGCTACAGATTATACCTAGGCCGACATGCGGGTTGGTCTTTTCATCTTTTTGTCATCACTGACGAAAGTGATCATAACTTCCACCAAGACTCGGTATGTACTCTTGCTTTCACTAATACTAGTAATACTACTAATACTACTGTTGTGGACATGGAAATCCGGTCATACATCTAGCGGCCCCAGGCCAGGGCGTTGGCCATGCAGCCGTGGGTAAGCGGTACACACATGCATTTATGCGCTGCAGCGCACTAGTCCTATCGGATCCACATGAGCACTGCACGCAGCGTTCTGTAAGCGCAGAGGGCCTAGGGCGCCGGCCCCGGTCAATCGACTGGATATCCATGTCCCCTACAGCTACAGTACAGTGCTAAGTCTGCTGACGGAACTGAGTACACAACCAGTCAGGAGAAGGCCAAGTGCCTTGGTCAGTACTTCGCCGATAAGTGCAGCCTTGGCCCACATGCCACAGGACGTCAACGAGGAATCCCAATTCCCCTTTGTCCACTCCAGCCTCGCTCCCAAAGCCATCTCCTAACTGACCTAAGTATTCGCTTCCGCCCTGCTGAGGTCCGTAGAGGGCCCTTGATCTCTCGTAAGCGTCAGGCCCTGACATGATGCTCCGGGCAGAGTCCTCAAAGCCAATGCTGAGAACCTTGCACTGCCATTAGGTTTGGTCTTCCGTCAGTGCATGACGTCGGGGACTCAACCACAGTCTTGGAAAGTGGCAAGTGTCGTCCCAGTCCATACCAGACGGTCAAAGTCAGCCCCATCGAACTATCGGCCCATTTCCCTCCTGTCGCTCATCTCCAAGACAATGGAAGTAGTTGTTAACCCGTGCTCTAGCCAACTTTCTCGAAGGAATAATAATTATACTCTCAAACTGCCAGTTTGGTTTTCGCCCAGGGTTAGGGCCTGCTGACCTCCTGACAAGACTGCACCACCAGTGGAGCAAGATAGCAGCTGCCGGCGGTGCTGTACGCATTGTTTCTGTTGACATTGTGGGGGCCTTCGATAAAGTCTCCCATGCAGGTGTTCTTCACAAGGTAAAGGCTTAGGCCTCGGTCACACTACGGCAAAAATGCTGCGTCAGCGTCAGAATCATGAGCTTTTCCATGGCAACTGACGCAACCGCGGGAAGTTTGAGCGTCAGACGCTGCTGTCCTATCCTGTATCATGTTAGCCTTTCACCCATTCACGGCATAGTCCTTCCCCTGTATGTCGCCATGTATAGACGGTACGTGACCTCTCACTACCCCCGTGCTACGCACGATACCATGCTCTGCTGGGCATGGCCTCCCTGACTCTTCACTATATCTACACTCATCTGTCTGTAAAATAAACTACTTCCTTATGTCAGTACATGACACAACATGGTGTCAGAAGTTAGTCAACCAGGTCTACACTTCGAGTAGAAATGGCCAAGTTCGCGCCGCCTGCAGACTTTGATTTCTCCATTCCAGATGCCTGGCCGGCTTGGAAACGCCGGTTTGCGAGATATCGCCTCGCCTCAGAGCTCAACGCGAAAGACGAGAAAGTGCAAATCTCTACGTTGCTCTACTCGCTGGGCCCTGAGGCCGAAACTGTCTTCGATCAACTGGTATTCGACACCGTTGGAGACGAGGACAAGTATGACAAGGTCATGACGAAGCTGGACGCTTACTTTACGCCAGCATTGAACGTGTTTCACCAGAGGACCATTTTCGAACAGTGTGTCCATCTTCCAGGAGAGTCCGTGGAAGAATTTGTTCGGAAGCTTCACGCAGCAGCGAAGTTCTGTGACTTTGGTGACCAGAAGGACAACAGAATTCGAGATCGCCTCGTGGCTCACATTCTGGATCGTCAAGTCGCCAAGGAGCTGCAGCTGATTGAGCCCGCAAAACTCACCCTCACGGACGCAGTTCTCAGGGCCAGGCAGGCCGAGAAAATTTCCGGAGACGTTGCAGCGCAAGCCGCCAGGCCGCAGGTCAATGCTGCATCCCGCTTTGGAGGAAAGCAGCAAGATGCAAGGAGTCGCCGCCAGCGCAGCTGCTGCGTCTGACGTGGGGAAATCGGCTGCGTTGCCGCTGATGGGAGTGACGCTTGGCGGAAAAACAGTGTCTTTCAAGTAAAATTAGTTTCAAGACAGTTGCTTGAGTTGAGCAGTCATTCGACATCCGTCTCTTCAAGGTTTGTTTTGTTTCGTCATTTTTTTCGAGATGAGTCCGTGGACCTACGAGGCCGAGGCTGCTCTGCTCCGAACCTGGCGGAAGAGCCGGCGTTTTCTGAGAAGAAAATATGTCGAGAAAGGACCAGTTGTTTGAGTGGGTCATCAGCCAATTGGAGCCTGTTGACTTGTGAGTGTTGTGTTGTCGTCAAGAGCCCCAAAAACGACAACCAGTATGACGAAGTCAGGAGAAACACAGCTGCGATGCGGACTTTTCTTGCCTGATCCATGACACTACAACTGAAAATGGCTTCAAATTCGGAAAGAAACAACAACGATCGTGTACGCGTGGACCTTTCGTCTTCTTGTAATCAAAAATCAATGAAAAATTTGAAAACTTTGTCCGACAATTTTTTTGTATAATAAGCAAAAGGCCGGTTTCCGTGGGAATCCGTGTCGTCATTGAGTTTCCCTGGTGATTTTGTGACCTAGACAAATGCGTCAGGCCGCGGCAGTCATGAGCTGCAAGAAAAACAAAACACTGTGTGACCCCGCGTCTGCGTCAAGTGCTGCGACTTGACGCTGCGTCCAGCTTCAAACTAATTGTTACTTGCCGTAGTGTGACCGAGGCCTAAGGCCGCAACCACACTACGTAAAAATCACAGTACAAATTTTCATGCATATCTCAGTACAAGTCGGTACGCAACCACACTACACTTTTCGGTCTGCATAGATGAGTAGTAAGTGCGTTGCGGGTTCCGGGCCACTTTTTGACCTTTGACCTTTGGGCCAAATAAGGCACACTGTGTCGGTCGTGCTTGGTCTGGCCCCGGGACCCCCCCCCCCCCCAGAGTTTGACCTTTGACCCCTGGCATGCCATAAATGTCATCCTTAAAGGGGAAGTATACCCTAAAATCAAATTTTCACCAGTTGTAGTCTTCTGGGTGCTGAGTCGAATGGTCTTGGTCCGAGGAAGCTGCGACGCTCCCTTCCTACTTGAATCCCAATCGAACTCGCGCACTTCCACCGAAACTGGGTGACTGCGCCCTACTAGATGGGGATTTGTATGCAAAATGTCACTAAAAGCGCCATTTCGTTCTTATAAAAGCACGGATGACCGCGATTGGCCCATATGTTGTAGTCTTTTGGACGCTGAGTCGACTGGTTTTGGTCCGAAAAGGCTGCGATGCAGCGTTCCTCCTTTATTCCCAATCGAACATGGTTGAACAAGCGGTCACGTGCTCCTGCGTACACCAGTCAGCTGGTCACCGTGCCTGCGGGGTACAACTTACTAGCCTATTTGACCTTTTTTGGGTGCAGTCCTGTCACTCGAGTTGAACTCGAGTTGAACCTTGGTGTGAAAGTTGTCGCCTGCTGGCGCGGTGACCAGGTGATTTGGGCACCCAGGAGCACGTGACCGCTTGTTCAACCATGTTCGATTGGGAATAAAGGAGGAACGCTGCATTGCAGCCTTTTCGGACCAAAACCAGTCGACTCAGCGTCCAAAAGACTACAACATATGGGCCAATGGCGGTCATCCGTGCTTTTATAAGAACGAAATGGCGCTTTTAGTGACATTTTGCATACAAATCCCCATCTAGTAGGGCGCAGTCACCCAGTTTCGGTTGAAGTGCGCGAGTTCGATTGGGATTCAAGTAGGAAGGGAGCGTCGCAGCTTCCTCGGACCAAGACCATTCGACTCAGCACCCAGAAGACTACAACTGGTGAAAATTTGATTTTAGGGTATACTTCCCCTTTAAAGGGGAAGTGCATCGATTTTTCAAGTAGGGCTCAGATGAAAGACAATTGGATATCGGTTCCGATGGTATATCTCTCGCTTGCGTACGGCAAGGGAAACTTGCCATATCGCCGATTTCCCGATCCCGTTTCCATGGCGACTACAGGTGATGACGCACATTCTGCTTAGCTCCGTGAGAGAGAAGGTCGATCACTGCAGAATTGTGTCATTTTCAGTTGTCTTCTTGTATTCACGAAGTGAAAGAAGTACTGTGTTCAATGCTGTTAGTGCCGTGAACTGTTCATTAGTAGTCCTCTCCGTTGTGTACTGGGACGTGACACCGACAGGGGAAAGCTGGAGTGCGGAGACGTTAGCTGGCAAGCGAAAATCGTGACGAACCAAGTGCTGAAATCTTGGTTGGGACAAATCAAACGTTCAGCATTTACCTCAACCAAGGACCATGCCGTTTGCTCTTTCCACTTCCTGAAGATGGATGCGCTGCCTGCTGGAGACTCTCCTATCTCTCGTAACATCTTCTGAAGCCAGGTGAGACGACGAGTAGCGGAGATTAGCGAACGAAATAATGTCGTATGTTTTGAAATTTTTGCTGAACATTTCTCAGGAGAGATGGCGAATACCAAGCATCTTCTCCTAGTCTAGAGAACCCATTTCGTAGGCTACATTCCGCCTAGGGAAATGCAGGAGACGGCCTGGCTGGGGAGGACACACTTGGAGGAGAACGAAGTAAGTGATCTTGTTTATGTTGTTCTTTGGTATTGCAATCTTATGTTTGACGAACATACGACATGGTGCATAGTTGGTCGTTGAGTGCCTGCATGTGCATGTATAAGTGTGTGCTGATAAACACTTCCTATGCAAGAATCTGACACTCATGCTCTCTTTCTTTCTTGCAGTATGTGCGCACGTGTGTGTGTGTGTGTGTGTGTGTATGTGTGTGTGTGTGTGTGAGCGAGAGAGAGTGTGTGCAGGAGCAGCGTGGAGCATGCCAGTGTGATCGCTGTGGCCGTTGCTTTCTTAGCTATGGCGTTCTTGCCCGTCACAAGTGTGTGGCTCAGCCCCCAACGACAGTGGAGCCGTGTTGTGGTGAATACTGTGTGTCCTGCGACCGCTGCTTCCGTTCGGTCCAGGGCAGGAATAGACACCGTTGCTGAAGCGCTCCGCGGCCGTACGTCAGTCTCGTGGCAGATGACCCGAACTTTCATTGTG